CCTGCAAGGAAGTCCTCTCTGCATGAGTCCTCCCTGCCTACCCTGTGCCTTGCATCAAGGGAACAGAAGAAGTCATGCCTGTGTTGCATTCCCCCATTTCACCAGGAGAGCAGTGCTCACACGTGAATGAGGGAACCAAAGGCTCTTGTAGCATGCTAGCATTTATGGACCTTCACTGTAGAGACAGAGGGAAGCTTAAGTTTCAGTTTAGTGCTATGGAGTGAATTATTTCAGTAGCCAAAAGGGCAAATAAAACTTTTTGTCAGGATTACAACGTGTCTGAACTTAATCAGTAAAGAACTCCAAAGGCTGCTTTCATGAGTCTTAAATATTTATTCAGTCTATAGGAAGCAGTGTTGACAGGCTGTTAAAGATCAGGACTGGCACTGACTTTCAGCACTAAAACTGCTTTGCTTTAAGGCCTCAAGCAAAATACTGTGCTGCCCCATGCCTCAGTTTTGCTGCCTGTAAAAATAGATAGTAGTAGTCCTAGTTCCTCTAGGACATGGCTTGTTAGTGCTTGAGATGTATTTTGCTCGTCTCAGAGAAGAAACACAGGGGACCCTGTTCAGGCCTTTCATTAACTGCCAGGCAAGAGGAGAAAGCACATCTCTAATGTAGATTAGTCTAATTGCTGGTGGACATCAGTTTACACCTGCTGAGGATCTGCTGCAGTGTATTTGCATTTTGCATGGTGTTGATAAAGAAATAATCTATTTTTTGTTATTTAAAGATAGAAAACAGGAAATGTTTCTTATGAGCATTTGCATGAACATGGTTTCTGTTGTCAGAACTGCCTGGCTCTGAAATGCTTTGTCCATATGGGCATGTGACACCTGCTCTCATAATCACCCAACCCTTCTCACCTCTTTTTGGGTTTAGCCTCGTAACACCTTTCTGTGTGCAGGGAAAAAACTGGAAGGCTGTAAAGACTTAAAGGCAGGATGGGGTTTTAACTTCAGCTTCTTCAAGGTCTAGTGGATTCCCCAGAGCCATTCCCTCATGCAAAGTTTTCTGCTCAGTGCTGCGTTTCAGCTGATCTTGCTCAGCTCGCGTCCCACCATGGCAGCTTATGCAGCCTGGGAGAAGAGCATTGGTCTTTCTGAGGGATTCTTTCCACCCTAGGTGTTCCTCGCCGAGCTGAAGAACACCGACCAGTACTTCGCCCTGAAAGCCTTGAAGAAGGACGTGGTGCTGATGGATGATGACGTTGAATGCACGATGGTGGAGAAGAGAGTCCTCTCCTTAGCTTGGGAGCACCCATTCCTGACACACGTCTTCTGCACCTTCCAGACCAAGGTAAGATGAGGCACCATTAGCTCCCTACATGGGCCAATATGCTGAGATTGTGCTTACATCTGCTAAATACGAGAGACTAGCTTCGAGGAAAAGTCACGTTAAGGGAAGGGGTATCCAGGTGGCCCCAGGAATTTCATCTTTCCTCCCCACATTCATTTGGAGGGGCAATCTGATAGGAATGCTACACAAGAGTGAATAAGGCAGCTGTGCAGAGAGCCACTGTTCAAATCAGAAGCCTGATGCCCCAGGCCGAGGATGTGCAAAGGCCACATCCACAGCCAGGGTGCAGGTCTACCCACAGCAGTGTCATGCAAACGTCTGAATGCTGTACTGCAGGAACAAGCCTGGATCACCGTGAGCTCAAGAAATCTGCTCAGTGTCTTCTTACAGAGAACAGACATGCTGTTCCCTCAGGGACTTTCCTTTTCCCCCAGCTTAGCTGTTGGATTGCATCAGACCCTTCATCATTCATCTCAGGCCTTTGACCATGAGGGCTGCAGTTCAGAGGAGCAGTGCAAAGCATCTTCACCCGAAATCTCTTAAGTCTCCAAAACTCAAGTAGTGTTTAAGTAATGTTTAAATCTCTCTGGCCCTAATAGCCGTGGGCCAATTCTTTTTTCGGATACTTGTCTACAGCCACTCTTAACACCAGCACAAATGTGCAGGCATAAATATAACTTAATAAATAAATAAAGATGGAGGAACTTGGAGAGACTGTCTTGTCTGTCCCTCTGTTCCATCCCAGAGCCCAAATTTATATCAGCATCCCTCCTCACATTGCTGCTTGCTCAGGGCTGCACTGAGGAGGCTCCTGTCCCTGCTCCATTCCAGGATTTAATGACACAGAACACTGCCTAGCATGAGGTTAGCACCTGCTCAGCAAGAGAGCTTGTATCTTCTGCAGGGTCATGAGAAACAAATATAGCCTCTGCTGTTTCCCGCTCTGCTCTGTGAGACCGGACACCTGTTTAAAGACAGGGGATTAAATTTATGCCAAGGAATGTCTGGGAACTACTGTAGGCAGTGTGACACTGAGCCCAGGCATTAGTGTTTAACCCCTTTGGGACTGTCAGTGAGTAGGACAGCACATCCTGGGAACAGATCCTTTTCTAGAGGAAAGGAATTAATTCCTTTTTTTTTTTTTTTAAGCTAGATTTTACTTTAAGATATAAATGACCTGACTGCAGAAGTAAAGAAAATCAAGACTTTAATTAAAAAGACAAAATATATGGAGACTAATGCTCCAAGGATTGATGACTGTGTTGTGTATAATTCCTGATGCCCAAGAGGAGGTTGGCTGGTTCCAGCAGTTGCATGCAGCAAGATGCTGTGGTCCCCCCTGGTCCAGCTTTGGTCTGGAAGCTGGAAGTGGAGTTTGGGCCTTTGCCAGGCAGCACAGATGTAGCAGTAGCAATGTGCAGCTCTGGTTTTGGGCTGTGCATGCGCGCAAGTGTCCACTTCCCTCTGGAGACCACAGCAGAAAAGGTGACAGACCAAAGAGTCCTACTGTGAGCCCAAGGTGATTTACTGACTGCTTTGGCAAGACTGTACTTATAGCTGCAGCTGAGGCAAGGAAACCCTGCCAGGAGGAACAGGAGTGAGCGCCTGAAAAATTCAGGGGACTCGGACTAAAACGCCCAAGGGATCGTTTCTTGCTCCTTCTCCTTCTCTTGTTATAAGGAAAAAATCTCCATCCATCTCCTTCCAAATCAATATTGTCACATTAAAGTTATTCAGTCACTCACTTGTGCCCTCCAGTTCACAAATGCAGAAATTGGAAAGGGTCTATCCAAGCCAAAGATGCTCTGAGTAGTGATTGATTTCTGGCTTATGATTTTCTCCTCTGACCTTTGCAAGGCAGATGGCCATGATTCAATGTGTAAAAGTCAGGTAGAGCAGGAGGGCTTTGACAAGCCATGGAGGATCTTTCGCTGCTCAGTGCAGAGCATGGCTGAAGCCAGTCCTTCTCTGGCCTTTAACACTGGAGAGGTGTGTGAGCTGGGTATTTTTTCTTTATTTTTATTTTTGTTTGTTTTATTTTATTTTGTTTTGTTTGCTTGTTTGTTTGTTTTATTGAACAACTGCTTTCAGAAATATGTGCCAATGCCTTTCTGGGCTTTCTGAATCCCTGATATTTTGGCCTGCCAATGTGAGCTGCCACAGGTATGGAATGCCTCTGCAAAGGACAGCAGAAATGGAACATTCCTACATCAAAACAACAGCCTGAGCAGTTCCCTAGATCTCCAGAGAGAAAAGTCATATAATCTGGTGACCGTACTGTGAGCTCTGGGTTGAGTTTTTCCCTGGTCTCAGCCCAGATAATCAGCAAATGCTCAAATATATAAAGCTTGGCAGCCCTCAGGCAGGTTTCTGTAGGTGCCTGGCACCTACTGCTCCCTTTTCTTCAGCAGAGGCTGAGTGATCGGTACTTTAGAAACTCGGAACACTTGTCATGTTTTGCTGCATTAGAATAAATTTGAATGCATAGAGTTTCTTTTCCAAATCTGTACGTTCTTTTTTCCAGATCAGTTTTTGAAGTTGACTGTTTTATTTTGCTGCAGTGATCTTTGCATCCGGATATTCAACTGACACAAGCAGATGATGTGAATCTTAAAAATAACCACACAAAAAAAAGAAAAACAGTTTCTGTTTTATTAGATTTAAAGGGTCACTGTTACATTAAAAAGAAGGAAAAATGTTTATAATTCTGTGAAATCCTAATGCTAGTAATGCCCAGAGTTACTAGCTTTTGCTTGCCTATGTTTTATTTTTCTCTTTTCATTTCACTGATCTTCTGTGATAAAAGTAGGCTTTCTCTTTCTGAAAATCACTTTTGTTTGTTTGCTTACCTCATTGCAGGTTCTTATTCACACCCTTTACATGAATGCAAATTAAGTCCTTAAGCTTTCTGTTTTTTAGCACGAAATGACAACATAGAGGACTGTCTTAACCTGGAACAGAAGTAATCTTTATTGTAATTTAAAAGCTAGGATTATAGAAACATTTCGTTTCTGCTATACTAGCATATCATATCTTTTCAAAGTGATGGCAGTGAGCTGTTTTTCTATGCTCTGTTATTTTAATATGTTTTACATTGACTCTAAAATCTCTTACATTGGCAGAAGGCAGAAAAGAATTGAAAATTGGACCATGGTCTTAATTTAAAAATACTTAGACCCTAATCCTCTGAAGTGTTTTCCATGAGTATTTTCAGGAGGTTTCTCATCAAATTATCTCCTCAGGGGGAAATTGCAATTCCTGCAAAATTTTCCAGGACCAATTTCAATTTTCTCACATCTCTAGCTTGCCATTAGAGGAACAGAGCTGTATTATTTTACCTTTATCAAGTCCTTTGACTTAAGCTTTATTGCAGGTCCTCCTGCAAGGAGCAGCAATTGCAAGCCTTGACCTGAAGCTGCCTTGAACCACTGAAACATGGCAAAATGTTGAACTGACTTAATGAAACACTGCAATGTTATCCACAATCTAAGGTGTCCTTTGAGTCAGCCCAAATATCCTTCAAGCCAGTGCTCTGTTTTTGGTGTTCAGCAAGCAGGGATGCTAAAGCAGAAAGTGCAGGGAAATGCAAAGTGATGTTGTTTCCCTTGCACAAACTGTCCCAGACCTTGGCATTCAACTATGCAGGAGCTGATAAGACCTTGAAGCTTCCAGGTTTCTAGAGCTCCAGTCTGCTGGTCTCTTGTTGAAGATAGGTCATCTTGCAGCCCTCTGACTCAGAACTTTCAGGCCAAGTGAGTTTTTCTGAGAGAAAAGCCAGGGGAGGAAAGGAAAGCTTAGGGCAATGGGAGTCTTTGGGGCTCTTGGCTTCTTCTTGCAAGCAGTAGGCAGGAAAACTGGCAAGTTCTCTTTCAGGGCTGGCCCGTATTCCATAGAAGTAGCAGCATCTCAGCAGAGCTTTGGGATTTCAGCAAGGTTCTGCCAGAGAACCTGTGAGCAGCTGTGGTTATAACATGAAAAATGTAAAGTCTTTAAAAGACACTTGTGGGTTGGTGTCAGCCCAGGTGCTGTGAGCATGTGGAGCGTCGTTTGGGCCACATTATGACAAGGGGATTTAATGTGACAATTGACTTAGAAGGCATATTAAATGCACACATTAAATACACATATTTCCATTGCTTACCCATTGCCCAGCTGTGAGGAAAATTAGTCCCAAATGTATTCAGCTTAGACTGGCATTGCTAAAAGGCTGCAGTTTAGCTAATCTCCCCAGAAAGATTGACTTTTCAAAGCAAAAACATTACTTTTACCCCATTGGGGATGTTTCCCCATTTTTCAGTTTAGTTGACAATTTATTTGGGTTTCATGAAATTGTCTGCTTTTTATTTAGTTTCTGGCTTGGGAATTCTTTTTCCCATAATATTCAGAGATTTTTCCTCCACCTTTAAGAATATTAGTCTCTTGCCAAGATTCCCCCCAAAACTAACAGGGAAACCTGCTTTGTCTTCCAGAACAGGGGTAATAGTAACTCAGCCTACAGGGCCCAGCTTTAGCACAGCAACTATGGTGCAAATATACCTTGCCTGCTCTGGCCTGTGAATAAAGGTCCTAGGAGACCAGAATTCAATTAAAAGTGATTCTAGACATGCGAGCATTTTGATATATATTGATACACACACACACACATACACTTATGCATACATGTATATGTTTATTCATATGCTTTACACCAAGTAGATGGGCGCACAAAGCTAATTATACCAAATTAGTGGTTTAATATGCAGTGAAAGATGCTGACAGTGTGAAGTTTAGAAGGAAAAAAGAAATCATAAGATCAGGGGCTGGACCACATTGACTGCTAGCTGTGAGAAATGCTGCCATCTCTAGCAGATAGGCTGGTATTACACAAGGGGGGAAAAAAAAGTCTTTTAGAGCAAAGAGCAAAATTACACCTTTGTTGCCTTTTTCAGTAGCAAATTGGCTTTGCTACTCCTCAGATGGTGCAAATAGAGTTGGTACCTTCTATGGTCACCTGCTAGGGA